TCAGTTCAGTATTTAGAGTTTAAATCCCTTTAAGTCCTAAAAAGCTATTTATTTAGCCAAGCTTTCTTATGACGTTCTGTTATTCTGCCTTGAATCCCTCTTAGAACAGGTTGATTTTACTAATTAGAACTGAGGTTTTAACTTTTGTGGAATGTTTGTTTCAATATTGATTCACACTCTCTCACCATAGAAAGCCTTTTGACCTTAAACATGATCTAGAAATATTTAACTTAAGGCCAGGCTCAAGAAAGTTGCTACATTCCTACATATTATATTTGAAACACCTTGATCCCGTTTGGATTTTTATGTATCCTTATACACATACACACAAAGAACCCTGCATGTGATTGGGTTCCAGGAGACCTTGTCCATTCTTTGAAATACTTCTAAGGAGCTTCAGGCTAGTTGATCTGGAAAATCCACTGATCTGTAGGGTCAGAAAGAATTGTACTGCTCTCCTTTTAAAATGTCAAACTTCCCTCAATTTCTAAGTTTCTCTTGTTAGCCTTGTATCAGTTGTTTCACTACCCAAAACCAAGAACATTTATCTGCTCTCCAAAACCAAAAAGAGGAGCACCCTGGCTTGTATCCATAATATGTTGTGGAGTTGAAAATTAAAATTAAAAAAAGTTAAAATAGATTTTCTTATTTAAGACTTTGACTTTTATTTTTAAATCATGTTTCCTGGGTCAGTAGGAAATTGCATAGAAGTTGTTGGGATTTCAAATTCCCTTCGATACTGTAATTCAGTTTAAAATGATCCTGAGTAAGACATCATAAATTAAAAAGGAGTATAGATCAGGACTGATGACAAAATCAAGGTGCCAGCCTCAAGACTGAGGCTGGTTGACTGCCTTATTGCCAATACAGACTTGGGGGCTTTTCTCATCTATATAATGTAATTAATTATTCATGGATGTTGATGCACCTTTTTAACTCCTATATAATACTAGTATAATATAATACTACTATATACAGTAATACCTCGGTTCACGAATGCTTCTGTTCACAAACAATTCGGTTCACGAACAGCAGCATTCGCAAAATTTTGCTTCCGTTCGCAAACTCCACATCAGGTGACGAACACAACCCGCGGCCATCTTCCCTGCTCTGACACGTGGCCGTGGCTTCCTGTAGGCAAGATCGCAGTCGCAGACAGACACTGGCTGTGAAGCTTTTTTGTGTGTTTTTTAGCATGGCTCCAAAGAAAGTGCAGAGCAAGCATGGTGGTAAAAAGAAAGTCCAGAGCAAGCATGGTGGTAAAAAGAAAGTGCAGAGCAAGAATGATGGTAAAAAGAAAGTGCAGAGCAAGCATGGTGGTAAAAAGGAAGTGCAGAGCAAGAATGGTAAGAAT